CCCCCACCCCAAACTGGAGCTGCCTGGGAGGGATCAGAATCAGGGAAATCCTAGACCCCCAGTAAAGCCTCCATCTCCTTCTGGCCACCCTCTCCTCCCTGCCCCCCATTCAGCACTTAATGAGACAGCAGCCACATCACACCTGTCGCAACCCAGGCGGCACACACAGTCCTCACCCTCAGAGTCAGCCTTGCTGCTTTCCTGACCTTTGGCTTCTGTTACTCTTCCCCACCTCACCCCGCCCCCCATGCCAATCAACTGCTGGGTCCCCCACTTACTAGCTGTACAAATTTGTGCCTTGGTTTCCTCCTCTGCAAAATCGAGACAAACTATCTATGAAAATGCTGATGAAGCAGAATTTTTCCTCTGGCTCCTGACATCCAGTCCCATCTTTCTATTCTTTCTGCTCCCACCTTATTCAGACTTCATCTTCCTTCACCTGGACCTTCCCTGCAGCTTCTGATGGACTTTGTCCACCCACACCCCAACCACCCCCACTCCCAAACCTTCTGGAAGCACAGCTGGGATTGCACTCTCCCCCTCCTCAGATACTTGCAATGGCTCCCCACTGCCTGTGAATAAAGCCCATACTTCATGTGTAAACATACAGACCCCATCTACTTCCAAGCCTGCCTCGCGATCTGCTTTCCCTGCCTCCAGGCCTTCTCCCAAGCTGTTCCTCCTGCCTAGAAGTCGCCTTACTGTGGAAAGAGAAGGTGAAGCCGGTAACACTGGGCAGGCTGGTGTTCTTGGGGCTCCACCAGGAGCTGACAGAGGTGGCAAGCAGTGGGGGGCCCTGGGCTAGGCTCTCTTCCTGGTTCAGGAAGCACAGGAGGCCAAAGGCTTGGTCACTCAGCAAGAAGTCGTTCTTGCCGTAGCGAAGGTGCAATTTCCCAGCATGGCGGTTCCAGTAGAGACAGAAGTGGTAGAGGCCCCTGGGGTCAGGGAAAATTTGGGAAGCTGGGGAATCTGCAGGGAAGGGGGCCTGGACTGTGAGGGCTTCCTTGGAGTTCTTGATGGAGATGTGCAGCTCTGGCGTCTGCTCGTAACGGAGGGTGCTCTTATGCGTCTGGTTTCGCTGGCCACAGAAGCGGAAGTCTTCCCGGAAGGCCCCGCCATGGGAACCTGAGGAAGCAGAGACTGCAGATGGGACTCTGGGGCAGGTGCTAGTCAGGGGCATGGGAGGGGGCAGACACGGACCCAGAACACAGGAACTCGGTGCCTGGGACCCACACACATTTCAAGGGCCTATACCTCAAAGGGCCTAAAAAAAAAATGTGTCTACCCTGCTCAAAATTTTTGGTGCCACAATATGAAAATACTCAAAATTAATAATGATTTCAAAGGCAAAAAATGTTTAATGGCAATAAGATTTTTAATAGACAGTTGTGCAGGCTGTGCACTGCACAAGGATGTTCTGGCTACAGAGGTGAGTAGGGCCGTAACCCAGTCCATGTTTCCCATCCCAAGCTGTGCACTGGAGGGCTGCATCTACCAGAAAAAAGGAATTTTTTCTCTTTTCTCCAAGGTACCACTCACTTTCTAAGCTGTGTCTGAAGGCCTTTTCCTGCCCAAAGGGAATAGTGGATGAACTGGCAGTTGTCCTAGACATGGGGCCATTTTAATGTAAGTCACAACAGTTCCAGGGAACCCCCAGGAAAGCCTACCTTGACACAGGAGGAGCAGACCAAGCAGGAGAAGTGCTATCTGCAGCAGCATTTTGGCAGCCATCTTCCTCCTCAGAAGTTACCCCGAGAAGTCACTGCCTAAAAGAGACCAGGAGTGTTAGCTAGCAGTCTAACCCACAGGGTGGTTGGGCCAGCCCTGCAGAGGAGGAGGCCAGAGTAGTGGGTGAGATGTCAAGTGGGGAGGCAAGTGTGGAAACAGCCCATGGCCCTCCCCAGAGCTGCCGGAAGCTGAGCATCAAGAGGCCGTGGCTGTCCAGAGCACAGCTGAGTTCAAGTCCTGGCTCCATCTCTCACCTGCCACGTGACCCTGTGCCAGTCATGAGAAATGGGGCCAATATTAGTACCTCCTTCTGGACCCAGCAGTGATGGGGTAATCTTAGCTAGAATTGGTGGGGAAGGCTCCACAGCACCACCTGGAACCACCGTACCCCCTCCTGGACTGGAGGAGGCACAGGAAAAAGGGGGCTTTCAGGATTCTTCCCAAGGAACCTCACCATCATCACCCCTGAGATCCAGCTCAGAGTACACCTCCTTTCAGGAAGCCTTCCTCAGCTCCCTCTGCAGTCAGCCCTGACCTCCTTTGGTTTTCACCACTGGCCAGGGTCCCCTCTGTTAGCCTCCCCGGGTGGTGTGGGATGGTGTGTCCTCTCGTCAGTCAGCCAGGGAGCTCTCTCCTGGTGCATCTCTGTGGACAGGGCCTGGTGCCCAGAGGTTGCTGGACCAAGGCTGGGTGGGTATACAGGTGAAGGAGATGGAGTGGAGGATGAGCACTCCCATGGCGCCCTCTACAGGGGTAGGGGGGAAGCACGCTTCATATCATGAACACCAGGGAGAGCCAGTTCCCAGGGCTGGGCAACTGGAACCATTCCTGGACGTCTCAGCCTGGCAGGGAGACACTCAGCTACGGCCTAAGTTGGGGAAGGCCCAGCTACCCTCACCTCCACCCACATCCCGGTATAGCGGGGGCATTTCTAACTCCCCACACCCCTATTAGCTGAGCTCCTTCTACCTGCTAGTCTGTGCTGGCCCACCCCACCCCATACGCAGATTAATCCTCAGTCCAACCCTGTGAAGTGGGCCTTACTGTTGGTCCATTTCACATACAGGGAACTTGAGATCCACGGGGTTAAATGACTTGCCCAAGATTACTCCAGAGGCCAGGATCTTCTCCTGCCTGGTCGGAAGGGTAGTGTCTGGCAGGGAACCTGCGTGCCTGGCACTCGTAGAGATGCCAGGTGGCTTGGTGGTCCTCACCACTGCCAGCTGGGTGGTGACAGACACGAACAGGCATCCTCATCCTGTGGGGAACTGCATATAGTTGCGGTGACAGATACAATCATCTGCCACAAGCCAGAGGAAGGGGAGCCTGGCAACTTAGGGGCACACGAGGAGTCTGAGTTTTAGAGAAACCTCGGGGGGCTTCCAGGAAGAGGTGACTTTTAGATGGACTATTTGAGGGCAACGTTATGGACTATTTGTGGGCAGCGTTAAAGAGAGAGGTGGCCCAGGCAGGCTCTCATTGTCTCCTATCTGGGCCAGGCCTTCCCCAAACTAATCTGACCCTCTCAAGCTAGAGCCATTCTGCTGTGTCCCACCATGTTCGATGGAACCCCAATCTCTTGGACCTGTCAGTCCAATCATTGGTCAGCTGGGTTCATCATTCTGCCCTAATGGCATCACAGGACCCCTTAGAAGAAGGATGTGAAAGTGTTTTAGGGAATGGCCACTATTTCCTAGGTTGTGATTTTTGAGGTTTCACTCTGAGGTCTTTCTGAGCATTTTGACTCTTTTTGAAACTGCTCCCTGCCACTCTCAGCCAGCAGAAGGAAACCCAGCATCCGGGGAAAAAAACACGTCCTTCCTGAACCCTTTCTTTCCTTCTCCTTTCTGCCAGTCTCTGTTGCTGTCTACCTCTGATCCCCATTCCAAATTTTACTTCCTCCAGGCAGCCCTCTTGCTGTGACTACTGTTCTACGTTTGTGAATGCATAGTTCACAGATCACTGTGAGAACCTGGCCAAGTTCTCCATTTTATGGCATCCAAATTTGAGGCCCAGAGAAGGCAAAAGACTTCCTGACATCACACAGCAAGCAAGGGTGGGGCTGGCCAGAGTCTATGCGTCTCTCTGGCCCCCTGACTTTGAAATTGAGCTACCACTGTCAGTGGTAGATAGGCCCCAGGAGAGAGCAGAACCGTCTGCTTTGTATCAGCCCCCCTGGATTGACCTTGGAGAGCAAAAAGGCAGAGGAAAGGACACAGACAAAGAAGGAACCAAATGCATGACCCCGACACTTCCTGGTTCGTCCCCACTCTACCCTGCCTGTTTGGACAGCCGCTCCAAGGTGGACAACTCTGTCCTCATTGACATTCTTGGGACTGGAGGGCACAGAGCTGCCTGACTTCCTTTAATCGATCCTTAGTGGAGTAGACTCTGGAGCCAAACTGCCTGGGTTCAAATCCTCGTTCCCTCACTCACTAGCTGTGTCCTTGGGCTACTCACCCTCTCTGGACCTTTTATTTGCTTTTGTTTTTTATGTGTTTTTTTCTTTTGAGCTGAGCCATCCTGTCACCTGTTGGCAGCTCAGCGGCAGCTCCGCTCGGGCCGGGAATTGAACCAGTGACCCTTGTTGCTCAGAGCTCGCACTCTTGAGTGAGCTCTTAACCAACTGAGCCACTCGGCCGGCCCTCTCTGGACCTTTTTATTCCTATTTCCTCATCTGTAAATAGGAATAAAAAACAAGCCCGCCTCAAGGGTCGTTATGAGAATTAAATGATTGATGCCAATAAAGGACTTAGAACAGAGCCGTGCATATGTTAGGTGCCATAGGTGTCAGCTAAATATCTCTGATACTTCCTGACCAGCTCATGCCTGCCCTTAACTCAACCCCCAGGCCTGTCACCGGCCCCTACCGCTTTGCCTCCCCTCCCACCCTCCATGCCCTGCCCACAGGGCCTCCACGGCCAGCTCAACTTCCAGAGCACCTTGACGGGAAATTCTTAGAGCATGAAACTTCCTTTCCGGGAGTGTAATGGGAAGACTGAAGCCCCACCCAGAAAAGCTCCCTCCTGGCAGCGTGGACCTGAGGCTGTCCTCAAAACCGTCTGAGGGACAGGAGACACAGACCGGGGACAAGGAGAGATTCCAACCCAGATGGGGCAGGGGAGGGTGCTGTCCTGCTTGTCCACTTGGCACTCCCTCCACCCCCACTCACGATATCCTTTCCCCCTGCTCGTCTCACTGCACCCTGCCCCCTTCTTCCACCCCCTGCCCATGACCAGGGCACCACACCTCTCCCACCCCACCATACACACACCTGGTCACCACCCAAGTGCCCCCACCTGGCTTAGCCAGGAAGGAGAGGGTCTGTGTTCTGAAGGCTGAACCCCACACGTGAACCTCCACACGGACCACACAGATAGAACCTTGTCCCCAGTCTCTGGGGCTGTGGACCCAAAGAGCTGGACGGACCTTGGCCATCAATACTCTTAGGACCGACCACTGGCCCCCCAGGCCAGACCCTCATCAACCGTACACAGCACGGGCCAGAGCTGGGGGCACAGCAGAGACGGGCCTTTTCCCAACAGCATCTACCCTGTCACATGAAGTTCTCTGAGCCGCCCTGCAAGGCTGGTCCTACTGCTTTGCCATTTTACACACGGGGAACTGAAGCTAAGGACGGGCTATCTCTTCCATGATAAACACGGGTAGAGTCAAGACACAGACCTGGGTCTCACTCTAGAGAAACCCTTGCAGACCGGATGCTGGCAAAAGTCCTCAAGACGCACACTCCCCTGGCTTGAGAATCCCCAAAGAAAATGTTGGAGAAAAATGGAGGATAGCCGAGACCACAGGTAGTGCGGACAATTCCAGCCTGGGAAAGAGGGTTTGGGGGCTGAGCCCCCAGGAGGCCCCCACCCCCCAGCCTCCTTCCCACATCAGCTGACATGACCTCAGGCTTTCTTTCCGTAAACACACACAGGGAACAGAACAGTCCGACCCAGCTTGACACAATGGGGGCCACTATCACGAGGTCCCCAAGGATCCAGGCAGAGGGTAGCCAGGGCTTGTCTAAGTTGAGACTCCCCATCTCGTCCCCAGGGTGGGCTGGGCCCAGGAGAAAGGGCTCTGCTCCAGCTGAGGTCCAGCCCTGCCCGTCCTCATGGTGGGGGAGGGGGCAATGGGCAAGAGACCCACAGCTCACTTTCTCCCCCCGGGCCTGAGTCACTTCCTCTGCCAACTGCGTGGAGCCACGAGTCACTGCTGGTCCAGCCCAGGCTCCTGGAAAACCCATTTCCTCTGAGGATGAAGGTGGAAGTTGAGTGGACAGGACTTGGGCGGCTCTGGAGTTAACCCTTCCCAGGCAGGCACCCCTCCAGGACGGCGCCCTGGACCTGGTACCCCGCTCCTTGCCTTCTCCTTCCCTTTACACATACTGTGGCTCACAAAGGTATCCACCCGGCCTCCAGAATGACCCTTTGCCTGGAATGCCTTCCCCGTCCCTGGGATAATTGAACTTATCTTCTAAGAGTCACTGAAGACACACACTCCCCTTGAAGCTTTACCTACCTTCCCACTTCCCATCAGAATTAACGTTCCAGTCCCGGGGTTGGTCGGGACCATGGCGCACATTCAACCCTCTATGCCTGCCCCCGTTGTCACAAGAAGTCACACACCTGCCTGTGGGTCAGAACCTCCCAGGGAGTTCACTAAAATGCATTTTCACAGGACCCACACACTTAAGGTAGGATGTAGCAGGTCTGGGGTGGAACTGGGGAGCTGGTTTTAACAAGTGCCCCATTAATTGACACTCTGCACGCTTGTGAACCCCTGGGTTACAAGCCTGGGATAACACCCGTAGCCCTGCATTACAGAGAGTCAGAGAGGGGTGGGGCCTGGCCCAGGATCACTCAACTGGGAAATGGCAGAGCCTGGACTGGGGGCCAGGGCGGCCTGTGTCCCATGGGAGCCTCTTCTCAACCCAGTGACGAGGACATGTCATGCTGCCTGTGGTTCACCTCGCTGCTAGTAGGGTGTAGCAACCTGGAAGAGGCCTCCCAAAGGACAGCTGGCAGAAGGA